GTAGCCCCAGACCTGGGTCTTGTCGATACCAGAACATTCTTTCATGGTCCATATCCTGGACACATTCCAGAAAAACTTTCTCTCCTGTCCTTTTGATTAGATATCTTGAGCTCTGGGTTACTTTCACATCCACGAGGCCTGTGAGAGGCAGAAAGCAAGGGTGAAATAAACAGGCCACCAGGGAGCCTGAGGAGAGAAAAACTTTGTATACAAGACCTCGAAATAGTAGGCTAGGAGTTGCCACCAACTCCCCAGACCCAACGACTCCCAGGACTCACCTACAGCCAGGAAACAAAAGGCCACATAACAGAGGAGCCTGGTTCCCATGGCTGCTTTGAAGAAATTATAGTTCTTCTCCCAGGGCCAGGCTGTGGGTTGACGGTTTGTGATGTCATTGTCCCGGCCCACACTCATAATCCCTCAGCCATTGTCTAGACTAGAAAGGGTCTAGAGGTGCTAGAGAGTGAAGGGCATCCCTTGTGCTCATGGAAGTGTCACTCTGTGTGTGTGCACATATAGAAAAGAGTTGACACAGTGGGCCTGAGACTGCCATCCTTAGAAGGGCCTGCTCGCATAGTTGGCTCTTGATTTGTGTCTGCGAACTTGAATTTTGGGAGTGTTCCCACTATCAGTAACTGGTACGCATGGCTTAGTGTGCCTAGACTGCTTGCACAAACCATGTGGGTTAGGCTGAACATCTGCTTTACTGCAAGTCTGGGATTCTGCTGCATGATAGGCAGAGGGTGCCAATGTGATCAGCTGAATTATTTTGCGAGGGCTGCCGTAAGTCACCACAGACTGGGTCATTTAAACAACGGAAATGTATTTTCTCACACTTCTGGAGACTAGACATCCAAGATCGGGGTGTCAGCAGAGTTGGTTTCTCGTGGAGCCTCTCTCCTTGGCTTGTAGATAGCTTTCCCATGTCTGCACATTGTCTTCCCTCTATGCATGTTTGTGTCCTAATTTCCTCTTATAAGGATCCTAGTTGTATTAGTGAGGACCTCATTTAACCTTAACCACCTCTGTAAAATCCTTATCTCCAAACATAGTCATGTTCTTAAGTACTGGAGGCTGGGATTTCAACATATAAATGTTTAATAACACAATTCAGCACCTAACACCAGCCACCAAAAGTACTGGAGGTGCTGAATCTCTAATGAGCTTCCCTGGGCAGAAAGGTTGTTCTTACGTTGTTGCATTGTTACTGTTGGGGTGAGTGTGCTTTCTCGCAGAAGAAGAGAACATAAGAAGTCTCATGTGGATTTCTTTAAACTCCATCATGTCTTTGTTCCTTGTTATCAAAGTATTCTTACTACATCTTTGTGATACATCTTTGCTATGAGTACAAGCACAAGGTCCAATGAGTTCTTCTGGTGAGTCTCAGTCTTTGAAAGTGAAGGTAATTTTTCTCCTGACCAGCCTTACCATTCTCTCTCTCTCTGTCTCTCTTTCTCTCTCTCTTTCTGTCTGTCTGTCTCTCTTGGTCTCTCTCTCTCCCCTCACTCTCAAAATATATTTTATTGAGAGCAGTCTTAGTTTCTCATACAATATACTTAATAATTACTACAAGTAGCATATTGGTTAACAGGGCAGGCTTTGGAACTATGCTGCCTGAGTTTGAACCTGGTTCAAATCCACATGTGTAGGTTCATGTGAGTGCTCACATGTGTAGGTTTACCTGATAGGGTTAGGGAGAAGGTGGTGCCCTTCACATCTACCACCCAATAATGGGGTGGTAGATGCGTTCAGCCCCAGGTGCAAGCGATAAAGGGTGCAAAGCATTTTAAAACAATCATAAAACCCAAGTGAAATGGTTTTGCTTTTATTATCACTGAGTGCCAGGGATTCTAAATAGTTTGGTTATAAAAGACTCCTTCAGTGCAACATTTATCCTTCTGGGACTGGCTTATTTCACTTAGCATTATGTCAAACACAGAGAAGCAGAGAGCAGAATGATAATTGCCAGGAAAATGGGAGAAGGAAGTGCTGAGTTGCCATTCAATTGGTGTAAAGTTTCCATTATACAAGATAATTATGTTCTAGAAATCTTCTATACAACATTGTCCCTATAGTTAACAATATCATATTGCACATTGATTTTGTTTAAAGGTTAGATTTCATGCTAAGTGTTATTCCCACAATAAAAAGAAATCTCACCAAGTAATTTTGGTACACATCGAGAACCACTGATCAAAACAAAAGGGTCAGCTACAACTGTCAGTGTGATGCTTATACTGCATGTTCCAGTAACACTTTACTTGTGGTTATTTTGCTAGCATTATTCATTAAAACTTTCTAATGGTCCAAACAGGTTTTGAAACTGTATCCATGCATAGTATGAATCAATCAGAGTCATACAATAGTTTTTAAGTTGTTTGTGATAATACAAAATAGTTATCATAATTATTCAGACTATATTCCTTAGTTTTGACTTTACTGTTAATATCTAATGTCTAATCCAACAGACTTGGCCTTACCATAAATCAAGCATACTGACAGCCAAGCAAACACCTTTGAACAGCTACAGCTACCCCACACAAACACCTTTGAACTTCAGTTTCACCAGACTATTTGCTTACACGAAGAGCTTTACATCCATAAACATTCTTATCTTTAGTACATTTTTTTTTTTATTTTACAAGATGTGAAGTCTCAAAGTTTCTATTGGCGAAATCTGTAAGTGCATAGTGTAGCCTAACCTGCTTAAATGAGAAGTATAAGACTAAGATTAAAATTGTCCCCTGAGACACAGGTAAACAAAAAGAGAAGCATGTGGGGCCCTAGAGAGGATCTCTGAAGACCATAATGTAGAATGCAACCTTCTCTAGTAGGTGGTGTGAAGGGCACTGGATTGATGCAGGTCAATTCTAATAAAGAGCCCAGGATGAGGAAGCCCTATTGAAACAGCAAATGAGAAGGAAGGGAAGGAGGACATTGACAACTGCATCTCACAGGTGCACCGTGATCTGGGGATAGACTTTTTTTTTCCTTTTTTTTTTTTTTTTTTTTGAGACGGAGTCTCATCCTATCGCCCAGGATGGAGTACAGTGGTACAATCTTGGCTCACTGCAACCTCCACCTCCTGGGTTCATGAGATTCTTCTGCCTCAGCCTCCCAAGTAGCTGGGACTATAGGTGTGCACCACCATGCTTGACTAATTTTTTGTATCTTTAGTAGAGACAGGGTTTCACCATGTTGGCCAGGCTCGTCTCGAACTCCTAACCTCGTGATCCACCCACCTCAGCCTCCCAAAGTGCTGGGATTGCAGGCATGAGCAACTGTGCCAGGCCAGGGATGGACTTTTACAGACTGGGGTGCTCAGAGCTCCCTAAGTCTCAGTGCAAGGAGCTGGGAAAGGCCCCTAAGTGTTTCTGTGGTGGGAGTGGCTTCCTCTGGTAAGGGCAGGCTCTGGAAGGTAAGACCATCTCTCCCCTTGTGGCAGCCTTTTCTGTGCAGAGAGGAAGTGGCTGTGCAGTGCTTTGGGTTAACGGCTGGCTATGTCTGCGAAGAGCTGGATGTCTGTAGACTGCAAGCAATAGAACTTAAAGTATATGAAAAAAAAAAGAAGAAGAAAAAGAAATGCTCAGTCTTATCTCAAGAGACACAGGTCTATTAGAGACTTTCTGTTTGTTTGTACTCTAAGCACCAGCTGAGAAATAGATTAGTTGGAGCTTCATTCCTGGCTCTTGTCTGGCTCAGCACAGATGGGTCATAAAACATATTCTAATTGTATTATAGTACTTTCTTTTCTGACTGTGAAACTTGATAAACTGAAATTTCAGTGACACCAGCATTCATGGACATTGTGGCTAAAAAGAGAGAACTTAGGACATATACTGATGTGTAACCACCAGAAAAAGGCTTAATGTAGGGTCTAGCAAACCAAGTTCAAGGACATCATACCTGTACCCATGACCTACCTATTCCAAAGAGGCAAAAAGCTATAGAACAGAGAAGTCAATGGCTGGTGAGTTCATGGTGGTGTCTCAGTGTTGGTGTTAGCTCTGTTCAGGCTGTTAGAAGAACACACGGCAGAGAAATAACCCAGTCAATGATTCAAGGAAATCGTGCTAGAGGAAGTGACTTCTAAATTGGTCTATGAATTGGTCCCCGATCCTGGAGTCACCCAGTCCAGACCTCTCTGTACGTTTGCGCCAGCAGTTTATTCACAGCATTGCACAGTCAGCTGCAGTCTGCACAAAAAGAGCAGCTGTAAAAACAGATGAATACCAGAGAGAGAAATGGTATTCTGGGTAGAGTGACCATTGTAGATGAAGACCCAGGAGTGAGTCAGCAGTGGACATATTTGCGGACCTGTGAGAAGTGGGATATTTCTGGAGTAGATGCAGGCAGTTGTGGTAGTTGAAGGATAGGGGAAGTCAGTGTTAGAAAGGTGGGCGGATTTGCAAAGGTCACATCATGGAGGGGCTGAGAGACTTGCAAACTAACATGAACTTGAGACTTTAGCTAGTTAATAGAAATAAGCCAAAGGGTTAGCTTGAGGGAGTGATTGTGGCTGGGGGTAGGTCACAGGTTTGCAGGTGGGGTGGCTACTTGGAAGGTGGCTAGAGGGATCCAGGTGAGATCAGTGAAGTTAGAAAAGTTAGTAAAATTTGTGAGGAATTTAGTACTTAGGAAAATGCAGGATGGGGTGGTGGATTCGGTGTGGAAGGGGAAAGTCAGAGAGACAGTGAAGATCAGTCTTACATCTCTGACTTGGGCATTTGGACCATCTGCTGAGAGGAAGAAAGTAGGAGGTGTCGGGTTTCATCAATAACTCCAAACATGGTGTTCCTCCAAGTGGCAAAACCTCCAGAATAGGACCCAGAATACAGGACCAAATATGTTGAGATCCATTAGATTGTAAATGGAGTCTTCATTTTGGGCAACAGCTTAGTTGAATTTAAAGATTTAAGCTCCACAAGAAGAAAGGATTGGAGAGTACCCTGGCAGTAGAGCTAACTCAGTTAGCTTGTCCTGCCCAACTTTGAAACCTCATTGGTACAGCAGATAGAGGTGGACCCCTGCTTCTGCAGAGCGGCTGCATTGCAGAGTCCCTGAGGCTGGGGAGTGGGGAAGAGCTTCTGTGGGATGATGGAGGAAGTTTATTCTGTTGGTCGGCGAGTGGTCTCCTGAAGGAGGAGTCTCCTTGTTCTTGCAGCTACCCTCTGTTTTTGTGCAGAGAGCAGCTGGCTGTGCAGCACTGTGGATAACTGCTGGCACAGAAATACAGAGAGGTCTGGCTGGGGCTGGGTGACTCCAGGATCAGGGGGAAAGTTGTCTTCTCTTTTCGAGAGACGTTGTACCCTTCAGGAATATCTCCCTTATCAACCAACTCAACGTTACTTGAATAGTAGATCTGCCTTAGGCCCAGGCCTGGGTCTTGTCGATACCAGGACATATACTCATGGTTCATATTCTGAGAACAAGTCACTGTCAACTTCTTTCCAGTCACTGTGATGAGGTATCTTGGGTTCTGGGTCACTTGGGCTTCCAAGGGGCCTGTAAAGGAAGGGGATAGAGTTAGAGGCAGAGCTGAGGGGGATCTCCAATGCTGAAGCCTTTAGGAGACACCTTGGGCTGAGGCCTACAAAATAAGGTCAAAAGTTGCCCATGTGTTCTGGGACTCACCTGCTCCTAGAAGGCAAAGGACCACATAGCCAAGGAGCTGCGGGCCCATGGCAGCATCAGGCAGGTGTCTGCCAGTTCTGGGGGCTCCAGTTGGTTTCTGTAATGTCTCCACGTCTTCAGCTATTTGGGTCTCAGAAACGTTTTCAGGAGAGAAACCACTCCCACTTCAGCTCAGAGGGCTGAAGTGTACCAAGGCAACACAGCCAACCCAGGCTGAGGACCTTTGTGATCAATGTCATTTTCCTTAATCTGTGTGAGGCTGCTTCTTTTATACATGTGCTACATTTTCTTATTAATACAGTCTTGTACAAATTGTCAAATATTTATGTATTTTGGATCTCAGGGTGTAAAGTGGTGTAACACATTTGATTATCACTTAGAAGTGTGAGAACATAAAGCTTATGCTATTGAAAACTGCATTTTCTTCTTCCTTTTTTTTTTTTTTTTTTTGAGACAGAGTCTCACTCTGTCACCCAGGCTGAAGTGTGGTGGCATGATCTTGGCTCACTGCAACCTCCGCCTCCCGGGTTCAAGCAATACTCCTGCCTCAGCCTCCCCAATAGCTGGGATTACATGAAAGCTGCATTATGATATTTTTTGAAGTCATTTCTACTCTGGCAGAAAAAATTCCAAGTATATCCCTGACTTCATTTATCTACTGGTATTTATTTTTAGTCACTACCTTTTAAAAGAGTCTAAGGTGTAAAATCTCAGATTCACATTATGGATTATTTTGTTAGTCTATGTGCTGTTTAAAATCCAAGACACACAGCTTCTTTGCTGTTTAGCAAAATTGACTTAGTCATCATTGCTAGAGCTAGCAGCTGTTTCCACCAAAGACGGCATCTGGAGCATCTTCTTTTCCCCAGAAGAAGCTGGTGAAAGGCAGAGGTAACATCTGCTTCCTGCAACAACCTCAGCGTCTCACCAGCCAGCTCTGCTTCCTGCCTACTTTTGGTATGTGTTTGCTTTCTTGCCACGCCACAGCTTGCTGCACATGGAAGGTGTCTGTCCGTGGATATTGCGTTGTAGCCAGGCAGTGTTTGGGGCCAGGAGTGTCAAGCTTCTCTTAGCTCTTCCAGCAGCTGCTGGTACTGCTCTCTTTTCTGCCTAGGTATGTTCTTCCTGCATTGAGGTGACTTTCCTAGGTTTCCCCAGAATGTCTTCCTCCTTGAACACCTTTGAGCTTTTCTTAATTTTTTAAATAGTTGATGAATAAAATTTGCATCTATTTACAGTGCTCATTGTGATTTTTGACACTTGTATACCTTTGAATCCTTCTTGTACGTTGTAGGAACCAATGCATTCCTGGATGGTGGAATGGAAGGAGACTACCCCTTTCTTCTTGATTGTTTCCTACCACAGGTAGAGTCTCACAGAGCCCGTCATTGTTTTGCCAAATCATTGTCATCTCCAGACAAGAAGGGGTCCCCTCCCAGTTTTCAGGGCTACCCTCAAAGCTCAGAGATGAGTTCCTTGCCCCCAGACCCCTTCACGGTGATAGGTGCAGCTCTAAGCAGTTTCCATTCCGTGCATTGAGGAAGGAGTGATTGCTATCAGGACCTTAGCTCTGACCTAAGGAGGAGTATTCTCTCTTTTTCTGTTTCTGGACCACTCCTTTCTGGAAAAAAATGTAGGGAGAGAGCTTGGCTGTACTACAGCCACAGGTGTTTGCATTGTCCTAGCAAATCCTCCATATCCTAGCTGTGAATTTTGGTGTTAAAAGAGGGAAAACAGCTTTCGTTCTAAAAACCCACCACAAGTAAATAATTTCATGTTACTTAGTGAACCTTGCCAACCCAAATAGCAAAATCTTTCAGAATTTACTCACATCCACATAGCTAAGCTCACTATTAGGGGTATTGGATTTCCCCATATTCTGTGGTGTTTCCAAAGTTGAACAAGTGCATAATTACACTTTGGAGTATTATAATTTTCCCCAATCTCTTTTCATATTAGATTAATTCAAAATTTAGGAGGTAGCTAATTCTATATTCTGTCCCTCTACCAGCAAATTCACTCCCCTCAGCTATGCGACTTCTCCCTCCCTGTTCCTTTGACTATGAGGCTATTCTGCTCTCTTGTTTCCTTTTCTACATCAACCAAGGTACTAAAATGATGCTGTTAGCCTGAGACCCTAATAGCCTTACAGTAGGAGCCAGTTGTTTGATTTTCCCACCCTTCCTTCCTACAACCTTCCCTCTGATCTTTTCTACCCAATTCCACCATATTTAGGAATTCTGAAAACTTATTCTATTCTACTTCCCTAATGTAGGGCAGACTCCTATGTCCCTAACAGTGGGAATGGAAAGTAAACAGAACCCTCTAGACGGCTGGTCACTCTGAAACATCTCCCTTCACCTTTGCATTTTAATGGGAAGCATTTCATTCTATGCCGTGCCATCCCTTCCTCTCCTTCATACTTTTTCGGTCTTTGCTCTCTTCCTTCTCTTTTTAGGGACTGCTCATCCACCCAACCGGGGCAACAGTATCACGATAAAGGTAACTAAGCTAACACCTACTAAACTGATGAACCATTTCCTAAAACCCCCTGTAAGAGAACCTATGCCCTGTCCCTTTAAATATAAAGCAATCTTTTTTTTTTTTTTCTACATGATATCGAGCCCAGGAATAGACTGCAGAATTCTCACCACACTTCAAATTCTATTTCACTTATGCTCAGGCCATTTCAGTTCTGAGAAAGTCATTCTAGTTTATGTATTTTCTTGTACTATATGATTAACTTTTGAAAGACCCCAATGAGAGATATTTATATATCATGTTTTTAAATTCATAATACAGTGTTAAAATTTATCAAACTTTCCCTCCCACCATTATCTGAATTTTAATGTTTATATTACAGGAATATGTTAGTGCCCTCTAGTGGAATATCAGAGTGGTGAGCAGAATGGTTCCTTAAAGATGTCCAAGTGCTAATAATCCCTGCAACCCGTAACAGCTGTGAATGTTCAGTTAGATGGCAAATGGGAATTAAAGCTGCAGGTGCAATTAGGGCTGCTAATAGATAGGAAACCGTTCCTGGACTATCCAGGTGGGTCCAATGTAATCACGCAGGTCCTTAAATATGGAGAGCCTTTCCTGGCAGTGTGTAGAGGGAGCTGTGAGTATAGAAGTAGGGTCAGAGCAACAGGACGTGCTGCCTTTGAAGATAGAGGAAAGCGAGCCATAAGGTAAGAAAATCGATTTTCCCCTGGAGCCTTAAGAAAGGAACCCAGATCTGCCGACACCTTGATTTCGGCTGGGTGATACCTATGTTGGTTTCTGAACTACAGAGCCTTAAGATGATACATTTGTATTGATTTAAGCCGCTAAATGGGTGGTAATTTGCATAGTAGCAACAGAAAACCAATACAACCACCAAGATCAAAAATGTGTAAGAGAGTAATTAGGATGAAAACAGTAAAGGAACGAGTAATATCGGAGTGCAGAGCCTCTGGGGCATCTTGAGCGTGTGTGGGGGCTCATAGGTCAGGTCGCTGCACCCCTGGGGTTTGTCATATCCGCTCAGAGAGGACGTGAATGCACTGATAGACTGCTGCTGCAGAGGGCCTCAGAGTCTGGTTAGTGCTAGATGATTTAAGGGTTGGGAAAGATGATTATATTTTCCCCTTTTTTTGTTGTTGTTGGAATGACAGTGTTGACTCAGTGCATGTTTTTCAAAGCTGCCGACTTCAGAAGAATAATAGATTAAATTTATCCCCAGTCCTGGATCTTATGGATTCCAGAACGTTTGGTCTGGTCGATAATCTAAAAACATTCCGATACAACTTTGCTGCTTCTCTCACCAGGTGTCTCAGGGTCTGTGTTACTTTGACATTCATGAGCCCTTAAAAGGAGGATGCAGAAAGTGACTGCATAGCCCACCAGGAAACCCATGTGAAAGCCACGAGGAACAGCCTGTTCCCAGAGCCTGGACACACCAGGATGGTGATTTTCCCATATGCTTTCTGAGAATACCCGCCCATGTGAGCCACAGGCCACAGATGAGTGTCCCAACAGCTTCCCTCCAGATTAGGTGGTTTCCTCACAGAGCCTTACCAAGATATGCACTTTTAGACCAACTCAGTTCTAGAAGAAATTGTTTTTTTCTGTTCTAAATGTTTTCTAACAGTTTTATTCTCCAAAACACATCTTTTAAAATTTGTTGAGTTGGTTTCTTCTGAGGCCTCTTTCCTTGGCTTGTAGATAACCATTTTTTTTTTCCTATACCCTTTTTTCTGGTCTTCCCTCTATGCATGTTTGTGTCCTAACCTTCTGATAAGGACACCAGCCATGTTGAATTAGGGCCAACCCTAATGACCTAATTTTAACTTAATTATCGATGTAAAGACCCCATCTCCAAATATAATTAGCCGCATTATGGGACTCTAGGGTTTAGGACATCAACATATGAAATGAAGAGGGTAGCACAACTCAGACCATAACAATGGAAATAATAAAAGTACTTACCTTACATATTTGTTGTGGCAATTAAATGAGTTGCCATGAATGAAGAGGTTAAAAGATCACCATGCTTACAACCATTCAAAATATTTCCTCTACTGCTGCTTCTATCATAATACTTTCTTATGTCAGTGCCAGTCTCTGTGTTAAACTACTCACATACTGTTTCGTTCAACCCTCATCCCACTTCTGAGAGGCTTATATTATTTACTTCATTTTATAGATGTGAAAACTGAGGGCTTAAGTCACTTTCTAAAGCTGGTAAGTGCCAGAAACTGACTGCAAATCCTGCATTCTCAACCATGATGTGTAAATATTTCCATTTCTCTACATGCTTTATGGTAAATGTGATGGTGAATTTACCGTTCAACAGTTTGACTTTTCCATTTATTTTAGAAATTATTTTCCAATCATTCCAATTTCCACACCTAAAACAGAATTAATACACTTTCCTTTGCCTGTGTTGTCTCTTGCTGTCATCCCCAAGTAACTGGTGGAAGGTATCTGAGTTATCAGCAATGAATCCCTGCTGGTCTGCAGCAACCTCAGGTCTTGTCTCCTCAGAAGAAAATTCCACTGAGGGTCATACAACAGAAAAAGAGACCAAGGCAAGTTTTAGAGCAGGAGTGGA